CGCTGGATCCATGAACAGGTCAGTTCGTTCTGTAACGTTTTCGAATGAGAGTCAGAGAGGATCCAAATGCAAGTGTCAATGTTTAATAAAATCTGACAATAAAACAATTAGTGCCAGGCTAGATGAACGTAGAACACAGGACAGGAACAGAACGGAGAAACCAGATCCAGACAAACTCCTCAGGGCCTGAGCACAGACAGCACAAACATAAGTGATGGTAACGAACTGACACAGACACACAAAAGCGTTGCACAGATATAGGCACCATGATGAGCCTCAGCTGGCGAACTAATCAGACCAACTGGGTGTCGTCATAACACGTGATCCTAACAAATCCACATGGACAAACAAAACAAACCCACGTGATCAAACATACACTCCGGAGAAGCGCACAAACCTGCAACCGTGACATAAACAAACAAACAAACAAACATGTTTTTATTTTATTCATTTCTAAAACTAAATTTATATTTTAAACTTGGTAAAAAAAAAATATATATATATAGCAGGCATTAGCAAGTGATTTAAACTCTGCACATGCTTATAGTTAGCTACATGGTAAACTGCTAGTTGACAACCTAAAAAAAAGTGAGTAAACCTATGGCCTAAGATATTAAAGGGCACCTATTTTACCCATTTTTCAATATTTATGATAAGTTTTTTGTGTTTCCAGAATGTGTCTGTAAAGTTTCAGCTCAAAACACCCATCAGATTATTTATTATACCACTTTAAATCTGGGAAATTTGAGCTGCTAGGACACTGTAGCTCTTTTTGTTTCCAGTGCCTTTAATGCAAATGAGCTGGTTCTCCCTATACCCACCATTCCCACATGCATGTCAGAGCCATAGAGATTCTCTGTATTGCTCTGATGAGTGTAGCCTTCACGTACAGTTGAAGTCAGAATTATTAGCCCCCCTGAATTTTTAGACCGCTTGTTTATTTTTTCCCTAATTTCTGTTCAATGGAGAGCAAATTTTTTCAACACATTTCTAAACATAATTTTTTAATAACTCATCTCTAATAACTGATTTATTTTATCTTTGCTATGATGACTGTTATTAATATTTTAATAGATATTTTTCAAGACACTTTTATACAGCTTAAAGCGACATTTAAAGGCTTAACTGGGTTAATTAGGTTACCTAGGCAGGTTAGGGTAATTAGGCAAGTTATTGTATAACAGTGGTTTGTTCTGTAGATTATCGAGAAAAAATATAGCTTAAAGGGGCTAATAATTTTGTCCCTAAAATTGTGTTAAAAAAATTAAAAACTGCTTTTATTCAACCTGAACTAAAACAAATACAACTTTCTCCAGAAGAAAAAATATTATCAGACGTACTGTGAAAATTTCCTTGCCCTGTTAAACATCATTTGGAAAATATTTAAAAAAGAAGAAAAAAATTTGTAGGGGGCTAATAATTCTGACTTCAACTGTATATAAACAGCACAGAGACAGACAAGAATGAAGCAGATCTTCCTTATCACAGAAAGAACTTTCACAACTGTTATTTGGTAACTTTGTTGTGGTGTAAATTCAAGCCTGTCTTTTATAAAGTTTATAGTACACATGCACAAGCGCACACATGTTTGGCTTTGCGCAGTTTTTGCACAACAAATGTGACAGGATACAGGGTCATATACACTGCTGCATGGATATCTGTTTTGTTAATGTACAAAATAAACCTGATTTAAGTCCATGAACTGCCATTGAAGCGTCTTCTTTTATAATTGTACTGACATGCGGCTGTAGTGATGAATTACGTAGTGATTTTACTTTCTTTATTACAAACATGCACTGTTTTAAAAATGTTTTAAGCTCATTCTTGAGCTCCAGATAATCACAGAGAGCTGAACAGACCTTTTAATCCCAGTTGCTTTGAGCACCTCCTGTCTTGTGAACATGATACGTGGCTGTCAATCAAATTAGTGGGCGGGGAAACTGCATTTCTATATCCCATTGTGGTGGGCCTTAGAATTGCAGGGATTTGGATCTTATTTTAATGTCAGTAAATTGTGTTTCTATCGCTCCAGTATGACTGTGAACACAATAAACCTACACAGAGTTCCGTCTGCTTACAAAAATAAATTTTCATCATAGGTGCTTTAATGAACTGTGCATAATTCAACTCAACTTAACAGTTCCAAGTTACAATAAGTCCTCACTTTCTTAAGTCAACTTGTTGCTTTTAAAGCAACGGGTTTGCTCACATTTTTAAAGTAAAGTAATGGATAACTTTTTACAGTGTACATGCACAATTAGCTGTATGCAGTGGCACGGAAGATAACTTGAATTGGACACTGTTTAGGAACTGTGGACTATGATATGTACATTGTATGCAAGATATACAGTAGTCAACAATTGAAGTGGATCAATAAATGTCTTTAAAACTATCAAAAATGGGTGTTGTTCGATAGTTTCAGGACACCTTTGATGCAAGGTTTTGATCCACTTTAAATGATGACTATTGTAGCCTTAATATACAATACTAAAGGTTTACATATTTCCCAAATAACATTTAAGGGTTGCACTTTAATTTGATGGTCCATTTGAGTATTAGTAGACTGTCTGCTTAATATCTGTTGATACTGATCCTACAACAGACATTTATTAGCACCACAATCTAACCAGCTGAGCTAACCGGCCACTTCCTTCAACAGACATTTAACTGACTATAAGAAACTCTGCAAGTACATGTCAACTTACACTAACCCTAACTCCAACCTAACAGTCTACATATATTCAAACGAGAATTAGCTTGCATGCAGATGCAATGTAACTTTAATTCAACAAACGGAATATCAAAATAAAGTGTGAACCACAACAAGGTTGTGAAGGCTTTTCTCAAAGTCCAAACTGTCGGAAAGTGTTTATGAAAGGCTCAACATTGCATTCAACTTGGCAACACTAGATAAATAAAACTTTCGGATTCATTAAAACTACTGTTGTTCGTACACCCACTGTTGGGTTGGCCAGGAATAGGTTGTTAGAGTAAATAGTTTGTGCAGGGAACCAAGGCCAGGTGGCAGATCTTTGTGTTGGGCCGACTTTGATCATATGTGTGTGTTCTCTGAGGTAGATATATGTGCTAACGGCCGCCAAAACATACTACTTGTTTGTTTTCTGGTGCCATGGCAATTTACTTTGAGTTTTCTCCCACTGGGTAGATGTGCTCTACATTGTGCATTTATACAAGCACACAAACAGGTCAAGAGACAGTTGATAAGCCCCTGTAGTGCGCATAGGATCCAGTATTGATCTGGCCTTGCCATAATCGTTTACCCAGCAGGCTCAGCTCCAGCAGCAAGGCTATCTCACGACCCTTGACTCTGCTTTTATACATAAGTCATGTGATCATTAGTTTGTGGCCTTTCTAACCTCAACGAGTTTAAATCTGTAAACCTTTTGGTGGCAGGATCTTACCTAAGCATGGTGGGAATTTAGTATCGATTCAAGCATACAGTAAATCCCATAGACTGCAGGTGAAATGGCTGGTAATACATCAAGTTGACCCTGTCATACTTTTGATTTGATGATTTCTTGGGGAAGCTACACATGTATCAGTGTAATAAATGATGATGTCGTTGACACACAATTGGTGAGTTATGTTACGACAGCACTCGGAAATTGATAGTGTCATTGCTATACTAATGTGGCCTTCAAGCTGAACCAAAAGTATTGTAATTACGAGTTTCGGGCACATGAATAAGGGGAAGTCATAATTACAAGGGGGAAAATGTGACATCTAGATGAGACATAAGCATGTGATGAGGATCTGAAATATGGTGGCAAACCAGTGTTGTAAAATGTGCACTTTGTGATTATTTTTCAGGCTATTTATATAATATCAAGGTGATATGTGTGAATAAGCTTATAGAAGCCATATATAATATAATCTAAATTTTCAACATTAATAGTTGTCAAATCAGAGATTATCTTGATAATGCAATTCAAGAGAATAAATATACACAAAACATGTAAATCATATGAAACTCTATCAGGAAATAAGTCAATGCTTTTCAGTGCAGTAAAAATGTGCTTTTAGGCTTATTTTCGTGTGTGTGTGTGTGTGTTTGTATGAATATGTGTATGTATGTATATATATATAGTATTCATTAGCATTTATTTTATATAATTAGTTTTTTATTTTATTTGTGGTTTTAGTAGGTTTGTTTTGTGCTTTTTTATTTGTATTACAGTTAAAATATTTAAATTTAGCTTGGATTTAATTAGTTATTATGTCAACTTGCTCAAAATACTTTAAGTCAGATTTTAAATTGTCTGAGAAAGATTTTGCATCTAATATTTTAATTTAATTTTAGTATTTCATTTAATTTTTTATTTTAGTATTTAATTTTAGTATTTGATTTTAAATTAAATTAAATTAAATTAAATTAAATTAAATTAAATTAAATTAAATTAAATTTTTTGGAATGTTGTGTTAAGCATTTTTTTTTTAAATAATACATAATTGTTTAGCATTTACAGGAAAAAAATAAGGAATTAATTTAATTTAAACCTATTTATTTTCTTATTTAATTTAATAATTTGGAATATTTTGTGGCAATAAAAATAATATCTAATGCAGAATTGCTCCTGAAGAATTGTTGTGTTTTAAGCTTTTTTAGAAAGAAATACCAACAATTATTTAGCATTTACAAATAATAATAATAATAATAATAATAATAATAATTTAATTTAATTTAATTTAATTTAATTTAATTTAATTTAATTTAATTTAATTTAATTTAATTTAATATTTTAGAATATTTTGTGGCAATAAAAAATATCTAATTATTTCTCAGCATTGCTCCTGAAGTAAAATTGTTGTGTTTTAAGTATTTTTAGGGGAAAAAAGTACAAAAGAAATTATTTAGAATTTACAAGAAATAAAATAAAATATATTTTTTAAACAAATTAAGAAGTTAATTTGGAATTTAACAACTTATGTAACCTGATATGATTGTTTTAGTGTGTGTATGATATTAGACTGTCACTCACCATTCTGTTGGGGAACTTATTGAATTCCTTCACCATCACCTGTCTAAGCATATCCGGGTCCGCTATGATCACTGTAGACCGCCGGCCTATATAATAACTTAACACACACACACACACACACACACACACACAGCAAACAAACAAGACGAAATGAATAAATATCAGCGCTCCAGTCAAATTTCAGGGGAATTGCAGGAGACAAAAGAACACAGGACAAACACACAGATAGAGTCACACATCTGTGGCTGCAGACCCCGCAGACAAAGTCTTCCTGTCATATCACTGACAGGCAACAGACACGCATTGTGTGTATGCGTGTGTGTGTGTGTGTGTGTCAAGGTCAGCTCAGTAAAGAGAAATTTGATGAGGCTGCTGGGTAGCTCCTCTTTTGTAGTCACGCATGGCAGCTTTCACTGCTGAGATGTGGCGAGGTCGTATCGTCAATGCTGTGAAATGGAGGATCGCGAACGTGTGTGTGCCCTTGGCTTGTATGTGTCAGCAAGAGAGACCACCACCTTTCTGAACACCACTTGAGTTTTTTTCATTTTTTTTTTCATTAGAATCAACTTAATAGGAAATATCAACGACAAGCAGATAATTAACAGCTTTATTACACACTAATAATTGAATATGAAAACCTTTAGTATTCTGAAGTCATTAATCTAGTTCAAACTAGTGTAATGAAAAGTACAGGTGATAACAAGTTGTGCTTAAATAAATAAATAAAGTCACCAGCCTTTCCACAGTTTGTTCACAGCACATCCATCTGTAAATATTACCTATAGTTTTCTATATTCACTTATAACTTAACTATATCCTGCACTTTCTGCTATTGCACTCCTGGTTAGACTCAAACTGCATTTCGTTGCCTTGTACTTGTACATGTCTAATGACAATTGTCACAATTACCAGCGATCTAATCCTGGCAGATTACTGGTAAACACACAAATCGCTAAAAGACTACAAAACAGCCAGCATATGGACTAAGTTCCAGTCATGTACCACTCACACACACCTGTTCCTCATTCCTCGCCTTGTTTGTTTGTTTACGTTGCCTGCTGCCTGCCTGTACTGACCATTTGCCTGCATTGACCACGACTCTGAGTTTCCTGAATATATATATATATATATATATATATATATATATATATATATATATATATATATATATATATATATATATATATATATATACAGTATATATACACATACATACAGTGCATCCAGAAAGTATTCATAGCACTTCATTTTTTTTTACATTTCTTTGTTACAGCATTATTCCAAAATGGATTAAATTAATTTATTTCCTCAATTTTACACACAATACCCCATAATGATATTGTGATTTAAAAAAAAAATGGTTTCAAATTTATAAAAAATAAAAAACCTTAAAAATCACACAAGTATTCACAGCCTTTGCCGTGAAGCTCTAAATTAAGCTCAAGAACATTCGGTTTCCACTGATCATTCTTGAGATGTTTCAGCAGCTTAATTAGAGTTCAACTGTGGTAAATTCAAAAACATTTCTGCTGCTCTGAAAGTTCCAATGATCACAGTGGCCTCCATCATTCGAAAGTGAAAGATGTTTGGAACCACCAGGACTCAGTTCCTAGAGCTGGCCAGCCATCTAAGCTATGTGATCAGGGGAGAAGGGCCTTAGTCAGGCAGGTGATCAATAATCCGATGGTCACTCTGTCTGAGCTCCAGCGTTCTTCTGTGGAGAGAGGAGAACCTAACAGAAGGACAACCATCTGCGCAGCAATTCACCAATCAGGCCTGTATGGTAGAGTGGCCAGACGGAAGCCATTCCCAGCCTCGAATTTCCCAAAAGGCATCTGAAGGACTCTCAGACCATAAGAAACAAAATTCTCTGGTCTGATGGGACTAAAATTGAACTCTATGGAGTGAATGCTAGGCGTTACGTTTGGAGAAAACCAGGCAGCTCTCATCACCAGGCTAATACCATCCCAACAGTGAAGCATGGGGGTGGCCGCATCATGCTGTGTACAGAAACATCCTGAATGAAAACCTGCTTCAGAGGGCTCTTGACCTCAGACTTGGACGATGGTTTATCTTCCAGCAAAACAATGACCCAAAGCACACCGCCAAAATATAAATGGAGTCGCTTCACAACAACTCGGTGAATGTCCTTGAGTGGCCCAGCCAGAGCCCAGACCTAAATCCTATTGGACATCTCTGGAGAGATCTGAAAATGGCTGTACACAGACCCTTCCAATCCCACCTGATAGAGCTTAAGTGGTACTGCAAAGAGAAATGAGCAAAAATCCCTAAAGACAGGTGTGCTAAGCTTGTGGCATCATATTCAAAAAGACTAGAGGCTGTAATTGCTGATTTTTAGTTTTAATAAATTTGCAACAATTTAAAAAACTCTTTTTTTCACAATGTCATTATGGGGTTTTGTGTGCAGAATTTTTGAGAGGGGTCTGGCCGCAGACCTGGTGCAGTGCAATCTGCGCTGCATTCAATGCTTTTTAATGGGCTCACCTAACCCCAACCCTAACCCTACCCGTCACAGTGACGTCACTAGCTCCATTTGAGTGCATTGTGTCTGACATTGCATCGCTGAGTGATGCAGTCTTAGCTTGCATCAAAAAGGCTGCATCCAGATACTATTGGAATTTTTGAGCAAATAAATTAATTTAATTAATTTTGGAAAAAGGCTGTATCATAAACAAATGTGGCATACTTTTCAGATGCACTGTACATCTCAGGAAACCAGTGCAATACTCTTCACAAACACGACACATGATATCACAACAAAATATTACACAACATATGCAAATATATAGTCTCTAGTACAAAATCTCATTGGCTGCTGTGCTTGTTGACACAGTCAAATTGCGTGTGTGTGTTGACAATCAAATTACACGCAAATTCTTTTGGCACGGATCATTTTCCATATCTGTTTAAGCAATCTGTATGAGCATCAAAGGTTTCTATTTGTGTTTGCCACTTCTTGAGATCTTTGGTGTTTTTAGTCAGAATCAGTGTGGATATCATTAATAACCAACAAAAAGTATTGGCGCAATTTAAGAGACTCCTTTATCATTACCAGCATATTTTTCTTTTTTTCTATTAACATAGTACCTTAATCAGTGAGCAGTTCTGCTGATCATAAAGGGAGCACACTTTGATCAGTTGCTCTATATAAGCCATTCATAATACAAATAAAGTTTTATGTTTCTAAGTACGAAAACCGTGAAAACCATAAGCTTCATTTTTTCCCTCAGCAGACGGCTATGCAAAGGTTCATTACCGTGTCCAGTGTCTGTAAAGCACATTGAAGCTCAGCTGGAGGCAGACGCAGCAGAGACGGATCACTCTTATCATTTACTGTACTCTCCTTTCATGTGCAGCGTCTGTACTGGTACTGTAAAAGCTGGATCGGCTCTTCATATCATCTCCTGCTAATGAAGCTGACATTGGCAGTGCACATGGCTCTAAGAGCAGGATGAGTTTAATTAAGCTTGCAGCTAAGTGACCTATAAAACACTGATCTCATTAGTATGTTTTGGTTTATCTATGCATCTGCGCCGCCGGTCTGTTCACAAACTGAAGACCTGTGAAAAAAAAGTCTTGGCAATACAAAATGATATGCAAGATACACTGATATAATGTTCACAGGCAACATATTATTATTATTTTTCTTAGATTTTTTTATTTTTTATTTTTTGCTGTATAAACAGTTTGCAATTACCATTTTTTTTTATATCATCATGACTTGATATACACTTACGGGCCACTTTATTAGGTACACCTGTCCAACTGCTCGTTAATCTAAATTTATAATCAGCCAATTACATGGCAGCAACTCGTCTTGAGACATGGTCAAGACGATCTGCTGCAGATCAAACTGAGCATCAGAATGGAGAAAAAAGGTGATTTAGGAACGTGGCATGGTTGCTGGTGCCAGAAGGGCTGGTCTGAGTATTTCAGAAACTGCTGATCTACTGAGATTTTCACGCACAACCATCTCAAGGGTTTACAGAAAAAGAGAAAATATCCAGTAAGCGGCAGTTCTGTGGGCGCAAATTCCTTGCTGATGCCAGATGTCAGAGGAGAATGGCCAGACTAGTTTGAGCTGATAGAAAGACAAAAGTAACTCAAATAACCACTCGTTACAACGAAGATATGCAGAAGAGCAGCTCTGAATGCACAACACATCGAAACTTGAGGCGGATGGGCTACAGCAGCAGAAGACCACACCGGGTGCCACACCTGTCAGCTAAGAACAGACACTGAGACTACAATTTACACAGACTCACTAAAAATTGGACAATAGAAGATTGGAAAAACGTTGCCTGGTCTGATGAGTCTCGATTTCTGCTGCGACATTCAATAGTATCAATGAATATCAATATCAATGGTTCAAACTGGCGATCTAACTGTGTGAGGGATGTTTTCTTGGCACACTTTGGGCCCATTAGCACCAACTGAGCATCGTGTAAACGCCACAGCCTATATGAGTATTGTTGCTGACCATGCCCATCCCTTTAAGTCCACAGTGTACCAATCTTTTGATTGCTACTTCCAGCGGGATCATAAAGTGTGAATCATCTCAGACTAGTTTAGTGAACATGACAATAAGTTCACTGTACTGAAATGCCTCCACAGTCACCAGATCTCAATCCAATAGACAGAGCATCTTTGAGATGTGGTGGAATGGGAGATTCTCATCATGGATGTGCAGCTTACAAATCTGCAAGCAACTGCGTGATGCTATCATGTCAATATGGACCAAAATCTCTGAGGAATATTTCCAGTACCTTGTTGAATCTATACCAGGAAGAATTAGGGCAGTTCTGAAGTCAAAAAGGGTCTAACCCGGTACTAGTAAGGTGTACCCAATAAAGTGGCCGCTGCGGGTAATTATGCTAAAGTTGATCAATTTTATGATATATTAAGGCATTTGATTACATTCCATCAAACATAATGGCATACCATTTTAAAAGTATAAGAGTTTAGCAATATTAAGACAATAATATTTTAATATAATAAATTACTATTGAGAGAAACCTCAGTATTTAGGAAAACTACAGTTTTGTTATGGAAAGCTTTTCAACATAAGACATACTT